AAAATTGCGTTCAAATTTAAATATATTATATTTTTTTCCGATTAACCGATTACGGATTTTCTAACCGATTACCATCATTCTGACCGATTAATCGATTAACCGGTTACAAATTGCCATCCCTAGTATATTTTGGATACAAAAAGGGGGCAGGCCCCCTGAACCTCCTCTAAATCTGCCAGTGTTTTTTCATTATAAAGACTTGCAGAATAAGCGAAATACTCCAGACATTTAATAAAAATCTTGAACCCGATCTAAAATGCGTTGACAAAGTCAAACCAGACGGTTTTAGTTTTTAGATCATTTTTACAGTGATATATGAGAAAAGTCTGATAATTGCTGTTAATTTTAAGAAATAAAAAAGTTCGTCATATTTCAACTTCGGTATAATATAATTTACTGATAATTTTTTCCGTTAAGGAGGAACACATGGATGAAGGATAAAAAAAGTGGTATTCTGCATGTACATGTACACATCATTGCTATTGTATACTCGGGGTTAAACCCAAAATCCTTCGTTATATTGTCAGGCGGATATTCATTTATTTTTATCTGTCTAAAGACAATAATTTCAGTTATTAGAGAAATGTTTTATTCCATCATTTTTTTTCCCCCATCCTTTTGATTTACACGTTTGCTTTTTACACAAAAGCGTGTGTTCATATACCGCTGTTTCTACGTGCTATCGATGTGATCAGGGAGAACATGATATTCTCCAGCAATTTACTTCTTATGAAAACACTCGATGAAAACATACTAGGTGAAAATATATATACCCGTTAGTATCTTAGTACCTGTTTAATTGCAATATCACCAACCGTATCGATCGCTGGCCAGGACTTGAATATAATTTATTACCGTTATTAAAACAACTCATCAGCTGAGCGGACCTATAATTTAAACAGTAAAATAGGGAAATTCCAGAGTTCGAAGTGCATTTATTTTGGGTGCTCTTCCACATAAACAAATAAAACCACATTTACGCATACTTACATGCATGTACCAGTAATTTATCATGGGTAAATTCAGTTTATTAGATGAAATAAAACAAATGCATAAGATTAATCTTCCTAAACAACACATTTTTAAAACAATTTATCTAATATAACTGACAGTATAAAATAACAAAGAAAATAACGGGTTTGTGTTTGTATTTAATTTGGAATGAGAACAAATCTTAACCTGTCAAATCATTTATAAAACATATTTCGTTTTTCCAAACACTAATCTTCACATGCACTGACCAAGAGGTCACAAGTTTGAAATGTATGGCTTCTCATTGCGTGAGTCTAAGCCTATTGATTCCCAAAGAAAACTGCATAGGAAGTTTTTTTTTTGTATACTTTTTAAATTCATTCAACGCTCAATAGAACTTTCAAATACAAGTGAAATATTTAGGTTACTTGCGTCCGACTTAGTATTTTGTATGCAAAAATATTGTAAGTTAGGAAGAAAATAATACAAATTCAAAAGTAGTTAATTTTATTTTCGATTTTCCTGACAATTAAAAATGTGACCTCTACGTACAATTATCATGATAATTATATACATGCTGTTTAATGTTTATGAAAGAAATAGCAACTCGTTAAATAATAACATTAGAGAGATAAATAAACTGTTTCTTTAGTACGTAAACAAAGTGGTCTTTTCGGCATTCAAAATGCATTGAATTTGAAGTCAGTTAAGACTAGCTGATTAAAACGAGCGAGTGATAAACAGTAAGATGAAATCATATGAAAGATTCGAAATGATTTTAAAGTAATTTTCCACAAAGCACAATTATCTCGATATCGAGAAATACAATATTTATAAAAATAAATATGCAACTTTCTTGTAATTCAGCGAATAAAATATAAATTGAAATGTACGATAAGCAACTTAATCAAAGATATTATGAAATAATCTGAAAGATTCAACATTTTTATCCACTCATCACTTAGTTTACAAAATGTATTTGGAATGGCCATTCTATGGTTTGTTTTGTGTATGACCTTAGGTCGCTGGTTCGCACGTCGATTGATCCCCGGTGACCTCCTTTGCCACGCGCTATCGAGGGAGAGGTTACATAATTGTAAACACACAAGTTGAATGTAAAAGGCATGTACTTAATGGCTGTGAATAGTCTATGTTTAAAGTTTTGTTTTATTTTCTGACTTTATTGTTTGTTTTTATATCAAAAGAAGAAAAGGTTATCTTTTTTTCCCTGTTAAGTAGACTGGTTTATCCAAATTTGAAAACAAATGAAATAAAAGGGAAAATTGTCAGTAAATAATTTGGAAATAAAGCACAGAAAACTTCAAGAACCCGATTCTAAAGAATATTAGCATCTAATGTAGCTAGGTTTATTATTTATAGTAAGTTTATTTTAATAACACGCATGAAGAGCTCTTGTTTACTTGCTGAATGAAAACACTTACCCCTGAATATGTGTTATGCTTCTAGCTCATTTAGAACACAAGACTCAAACAAAATAACGTTTCTTGAGATCAATAAGATGTTAAATAACAACTTTAATTATGGCAGCTTTTTCGAAATATTTAGTAAACTTGGTTTTTATAAAGCTAAAATTAACTGTTGCATAATCAACTAGTACCCAAAAGTTGACTGTATACAATCACAGGTGTCATGTGCAATGAGGCGTAACTAATCCTGTCTGTTGTCTGCACTGGGTGAAATTCATGAGATAATCAATCCCCATTGTGAATACAAGCAGTAATTATGGTTTCTAGATAAAACTCAAGATTCAAAAGTGATTTTGAAAAAAGGCTGCAATGTGTTTACGGCTGTGGGAGTTTGGCATGCTACACTATTATGACTATGGACTAATAAACATGAAATATCTTATAATCAATCCCTGTTTAAAAAAAAAAGAGAAATAAGTACAAGAAAAGTTGTTTCTTGGATAAACTTTATGAAAGTTACAGGAAGGTTTTGATTAAATATTTTTTAGACAAATCCTAACATCTAAATTTTCTGTTTTCGAAAGCACCCAAATTTTCTCGCTGATGAGGACACATCCACTCATGAGTCCACGGACGCATCGTTTTTAAGAACCTTGCGTCCCAAGTAATTTTGCTGCATCTAGGATGCAGATTCTTGCGTTAATAACCCTAGCATTGCTAATAACTTTTTTATTGAGAGGTGGTATTTACATTTGACATGTGCATTACCTGATAAACTCAAGAACAGCAAAGCCATGATTCGTCATATTATTATAGAAGCATCCTCAGGTAGTGTATATTCAAATTTGTTCAAATTTACAGTGGGTAGGGTGGGGCCACAATGAGCACTCAAGTGTTTTACATAGGAGTACATAGGAAAAAAAATCTTTAAAAATCTTCTGTTTAAGAACAGCAAAGCCATGAATAGTAATGTTGATATAGAAACATCCTGAGGTAGTGTAAATTTAAGTTTGCCCCCACCCCACCCCTCTTAAAGGGGCCTGGACACAGTTGCGTTGTTTACATTTTAAATTTATGCTTATTAAAAAAATAAAAGCAGTTTAATGAATTGAACTTACATGAATATTCTTAGAGTTCAATGACAACACATTCTTTACATCACATCAAACATCTGTTTTTGTAAACAAGGCACAAGTCCTGTTATTGTTAATGTTTACGTTTCACCGGGTGTGTTCAAATTGTTCAACTCTGCACACATCACCGAGCACGGACTGACAATATCGATGAGTTGGTTTTGCTTTCTCACATTTCTGCCCTGAATTTTCTGAATTATAGATTTAATATTTTTCATTAAAACACAACAAAATTTCTACTTTTGTTAAGTATTAAGGATACTTTGTGAAAGTGTAAGGATGTGTTAATCAAATGCATCCCAAAATTCATAGTTTCAACAATTTCCAGATAAAAGAAGTTTCTGAACATGCTTTTATTATATTTCCTTGTGAAATGCTATAACAACATATTAGTCATGATATTATACAGAAAATATGAGAAAATAATAACTTCAAATCTGTGTCCAGGCCCCTCTAAAACTTTTCAATACTGAACTGATTTCTGCTTCTTCCTAGCCAGTGTGCTCAGGTGAGCCATGTGCCTCATAGGCCTCTTGTTTCCATCTATAACTAAGCATATTTACTCTTGATCTCTCAATCTCTCAAAGCCCTTATCCCTCAAAGTCATAATGCAGTTCTGCTATGCATAATCTTTTGTAATTTACTCTTGATACGCAGAAGAGTAATGTACTCAAGCATTACATAATTAACACCTTTACCTTGAAATTGAAATAATCATTTTGGTGCCTGTCTATACTGCACACCATCAAAGAAAGACTGCCTATTTAGTTCAATGACAGGTACCTTCCATAAGTAACTAATACAAGTCTTCAGAAGGTTCATTTTACTTGCAAGATCTGTCCCTCGAGTTTTTATGGGGGCACTTGATTGTTTGAATCAGTGAAATTCCAGGAATTTAATGGAACTTGTCAAACTTTTGAGAGCAAAGATGAAATGTAATGTTGCTTTAGACACTTTTCTGGTTGAGGAAATACCATACATAGCATAAAAATCCATATAACTTTTTTGAAAAATTTAAATTTAAATTTGCTATGAATATTGATGAAAAATGTACTAAAGAGTAGGGAAATTTGGAATTCAGTGTTGATTGTTTTTCACTCAAGACAACTTGTCTATAATTTTACTGGACAGCCCTAATTTAATGACAGTATACATTTTTTTTTCTTTCTTCATTTTTAAAAAAAAGCATATCTGTATATTTACATGTAAAATACAAAGAAGTATAGTTGTAAAAGCAAGAGTGCAAGATTAACACTGGAAATGAATGAAAATCACAACATCCAGTTAGACTTATTAAAACCTCTCAACCAACTGGAAAATTCTAGACACTTGAAAACTCAAACTCTTGATCTCATGACATTTTTCCTTGGACCAGTGGACTTTGAGATAGACAGAAATTTCCACATTAACATGCTCAGGTCATTATGATTTTTATATATGATATAATTTGAATGTGTTTTTTTCTAAGATGATTGCCACAAAAACAAAGGAGGGAACAGACATGCATATTTCAAATGGCAGCATTGGACAAGTCAGAAAGTTTAGTATTAACCCAAGTGGACCTGTTTCAAGGAAAGAGTGGAGTATCATTGCAACGCATCAAATGAAAGGTGCATTTTACTTGGAAATAATATGGAACTGTCATCCATTCGTAAATTTGAGTTGTCTTGGTCAGAGACTAGAAGAGCTTCTGCATTGGTTAGGTGTCTGGTTGTCATCTATTTGTAAATAATATTTGAAAATGTTACTACTTTACTCTAAGAAAATTTTTAAAAAAATGCTGACAAATTCAAAATTCTCTACTTCCCACAGCTTTTGTCTGCAGGTGGTAAACTTTGATGCAAACATTGTCCACACCAAGGTACATGATTCTGTGTATAGGTTGATTTTGACCGATGGTGTTAGAATGGTTACTAAACATGACAAGTATGTGAACTTAATTCGAGACACTACTCTTCCTACAGTTCTGTCTATCTGTCTGCGCAATCTTGTTGGATTTATAACTTTGTAGTGAAGAATCATTAGAAGTTAATACTTAGTACAGAGATTGCTTACGACCTGAGAATATGTCATGAACTTGACCCAAGGTGATTTAAGCAAGTTCAAGGTCACTGTCAGAAAAGTATAAAATTTTTGTCCAGGCTTTAACTTTGTTATGGAGAATCATTGGAAGCTTGGCTTGGCCAGAGATTGTTTATATCCAAAGGATGTTTCTTGACCTAGAATTATGATCATTCTGCCATGTGCAAGGTCCTTGATAGAAATGTATTTAACTCTTGTCTGGGCTGTATTTTTGTAATGAAGAATCATTGGAAGTTCACACTTGGTACAGAGATTGTTTATGTCCAGAGAACTGATACAAGGTCATTCTGGCAAGTTCAAGGTCACTGCCAGAAAAAGTATATCATACTTAACCAGACTTTAACTTTGTAATGGGGATTACCCCACCTCTAAAAGGGGTGTAATACTTATACATGGTCACTTGAAAATCAATACATGGTTGATATGGAGTTACACATTATGGAACCCTTTTTCTCCTCTTACTAAATTTCTTCAAACCTGTCTGTATGTTATTACTGCACGAAATGCTCACAAAACAATATACGTAACATAATGTGACATCATAATAGACACTGTACAGGAGTGATGAAACATAGCGGGAAGAAACAATGTTACTCACCATAGACATATGAATATATAATGAAGTCATTGTTGATGTAAATTTGCTACATAGTTTTGTAGTGACCGGGTACGAGATGATACCTGGTTAGTAAATTTTAGAAACAGTTTTTCCTATTACAGAATCATATATCTGGATGTTTTCAAAATTTTAGTCATGTTGCATTATGAGAGGCCCATGAGCATTGATAATCTCTGACCTGTATCACAATTTAGACTTTGATCATTTAACCCATCTGAAACTACATTCAAAATGTTTTGACGTCATAGTTATTCACAGACTCAATATTCTTCAAACATTCCGCCATTGAGCATTTTGATTGGGTAAAACTATCAATGAATATGAATATAGTTGAATAGCTATATTTTTTAAAATCAAAATTAATATGCTAAATATACATATTAATGAAAACTATTCAATTGCATCAACATATTTTACCTTGACCTTTCCTTTGTTGCATTTCTAATTAGCTGCAGGCAAAACATTCATGTCCTATGGACAAATGAGGGGTGATCAAAAAGTTGGCGAACTAATTGAATAACCTCCTTAAAAGAAATAAAATGGGGTTTCAGTGTTCATTATTTTTTAAAGTAGTCCTCTCTGATTTTAATGCTCATCTACCATTGTTCCACCCATGCGTGAATCATGTGATCCAGGCGGTCATGTGACATGCTCTGTAGCAGTCTGTTCACAGAAGCTAAGAGATTTTCCGAGTCTTATATTTTTACCATTCAAGTTATTTTTTATAACAAGAACAGACTATATGTTAGAAATGACCAATTCTCGGCAATAGGATGGGTGGATAAGGATATCCCTTCCCAGAATTAGCATGGTGACCATCACAACCCGAGTCCTTTGTCTCCGGAGCGTCGTTTATCTTATGTGGAAAAAGTATGGGTGCCTTCTTTTTAGGTCACCTGAGTCATTTTCAGCTTCTTCTCTGGAACCAGTGAACCAATTTCAACCAATTTTGGCATATAGCATCTATGGGTGAAGGGGAACAAAAATTGTGAAATTCGTGGCCCCTGCCCCCCTGGGGCCTGAGGGGTGGGGCCAAAACCATCAAAATTAATGCAATCTTTAAAAATCTTCTTCTTTACTCCTGGACATCAAGCAGTCAAACTGTTGGCATGATTGTAATAAGCATTGAGCCCTCTACCAAAATTGTGAAATTCATGGCCCCAGGGTCAGGGGTTCTGGTGCTAGGGCAGGGCTATATAGATCATAGAGTGAAAGTGCATTATTTCTTTGAAAATCTTCTTCTCTACTCCTGGGTATTATTGAAACAAATTGAATACATAGTTATGATAGGCAAGGGTGACTCTACCAAAATTGTGAAATTCATGGCCCCAGGGTCAGGGGTTCTGGTGTTAGGGCGGGGCTATATAGAAGATATAGTGAAAGTGCATTATTTCTTTGAAAATCTTCTTCTCTACTCCTGGGTATTATTGAAACAAATTGAATACATAGTTATGATAAGCAAGGGTGACTCTACCAAAATTGTGAAATTCATAGCCCCAGGGTGAGGGGTTCTGGTGATAGGGCGGGGCTATATAGATCATTTAGTGAAAGTGCATTATTTCTTTGAAAATCTTTTTCTCTACTCCTGGGTATTATTGAAACAAATTGAATACATAGTTATGATAAGCAAAAGTGACTCTACCAAAATTGTGAAATTCATGGTCCCTGGGTCAGGGGTTCTGGTGCTAGGGCGGGGCTCTTTTGATTATATAATGAAAATGCATTAATTCTTTGAAAATCTTCTTCTCTACTCCTGGGTATTATTGAAACAAATTGAATACATAGTTATGATAAGCAAGAGTAACTCTACCAAAATTGTGAAATTCATGGCCCCAGGGTCAGGGGTTCTGGTGCTAGGGCGGGGCTATATAGATCATATAGTGAAAGTGCATTATTTCTTTGAAAATCTTCTTCTCTACTCCTGGGTATTATTGAAACAAATTGAATACATAGTTATGATAAGCAAGGGTAACTCTACCAAAATTGTGAAATTCATGGCCCCTGGGTCAGGGGTTCTGGTGTTAGGGCGGGGCTATATAGAAGATATAGTGAAAGTGCATTATTTCTTTGAAAATCTTCTTCTCTACTCCTGGGTATTATTGAAACAAATTGAATACATAGTTATGATAATCAAGAGTAACTCTACCAAAATTGTGAAATTCATAGCCCCAGGGTGAGGGGTTCTGGTGCTAGGGCGGGGCTATATAGATCATATAGTGAAAATGCATTATTTCTTTGAAAATCTTCTTCTCTACTCCTGGGTATTATTGAAACAAATTGAATACATAGTTATGATAAGCAAGAGTGACTCTACCAAAATTGTGAAATTCATGGCCCCTGGGTCAGGGGTTCTGGTGCTAGGGCGGGGCTCTTTTGATTATATAATGAAAATGCATTAATTCTTTGAAAATCTTCTTCTCTACTCCTGGGTATTATTGAAACAAATTGAATACATAGTTATGATAAGCAAGAGTAACTCTACCAAAATTGTGAAATTCATAGCCCCAGGGTGAGGGGTTCTGGTGCTAGGGCGGGGCTATATAGATCATATAGTGAAAGTGCATTATTTCTTTGAAAATCTTCTTCTCTACTCCTGGGTATTATTGAAACAAATCGAATACATAGTTATGATGAGCAAGAGTGACTCTACCAAAATTGTGAAATTCATGGCCCCTGGGTCAGGGGTTCTGGTGCTAGGGCGGAGCTATATAGATCATATAGTGAAAGTGCATTATTTCTTTGAAAAGCTTCTTCTCTTCTCCTGGGTATTATTTAAACAAATACATGGTTATGATAAGCAAGGATGCCTTTTCCAAATTTGTGAATTTCATGACCCCTGGATCAGAGATTCTGATGTTAGGGTGGGACTCTATTTATTATATAGTGAAAATGCATTAATTCTTTAAAAATCTTCTCTGCACCTGGGCATATCAGAGGCAAAAAGAGTAAAAGTTTTAATAAGGAAGCGTATTTTTACCAGATTTTTGAACATCAGGACCATTTGGTCAAGTGTTCTGGTCCAGGCCAGGGCTCTATTAATTTGTATTCTACTGAGAGGAGTTATTCCCCTTTGCCATTTACTTGTGATAATTAATCACTGTAAATAATGTACTTGAAAGGTTAATAGAATAAGAGAATTATGCAAGAATTTTTATTGTATAATACAAAAAGTACTTTCATAGTTTTAATGATCAGGTAGACTTGTAAGTAATAGATAGATAAAAATGAGACAAAAATAACTTGTCTTATTAAATGTTCATCAAAGACCAAGAGAGGCCAGTGTAAGAGATTTCAACAAGGAATTAAAAGAGTGCAGAAGCACTGATAGTTTGTTTATATACTGTCTGGTGAGAGTGATAAATGGGGAACAGATTAGAACCTAATTTATGAACTGTTAATGAATACTAGACTAATTATTTTGATGATCCTGATCACCCTATTTTTCTTGCTTTTGGGCAACAAAGCTTCACCTTTCAGTTCATTTTATACTCTATGGATCCTCTAAATTGTTGTATTATACTCAGGTGACCAATAAGGCCCTTAGGCCTCTTGTTAGCTCTTCTGAGCAAAAGGCTCAAAGAGCTATTGCTATGGCCATTTGTGCGGTGTGCGTAAACTTTTAGAATATGGGCCATAACTCAAGAACCCCTTGGCCAATTATTGTCAAATTTGTCACAGGGTATCCTTGGTCCATATTTTGAACAATTTAAGGCCTATGATCATAAAACTGTAAGTTGATGCATCTTGGGTCCTCAAAAAAAGTCAACTGAAAAGTAGGTCACCCTGACCTACTTTGAAATTTTATGGCTTTATTTAATATTTCGGGTTCAGAATCATCAAAATTTGTCAGTTGATGCATCTTGGGTCCTTGGAGTACAACAACTAAAAAGTAGGTCACGGTGACCTACT